ACCATCAATACCAAAAAACGAATCCAGACTGAACCACTCCAGTCAGAAGAAGCTTTGGACAACTTGCGGCACAACATGCAGACTAGACTAAGAAGTCTATCAAGAAACGAGCTTGGAGATGTGGAGAAATACTGGACAGGTCTAAAGAAACTCTATATGAAGCTAGCGTATTGGCAGTGGGGGGTCACAGACAAGAAAAAATAAGAAGACTGGTTTGTTGACAATCCCAACAAAATTAAGGAAATATTAGACAAAAAGCACAACGCATTCCAGTCAGTGGAAAACCACCCAACAGACAACAATACCCTAAGAAAATATGAGAAAATAAAACAAGAAACCTGTCAAGATATAAAAGTAGAAGTTTATCTTATGACGTTTCTTTTAAATCTGAAACTGACTTCTAATATAGGTAACTGGTCACTATATGAACATAGTTTGCAGTGAACCATATCATCTCCCCTTTCTGGAGTATACCTAATAGCCAAAACCATATCATCTCCCTTCCTTAGAATTTGTCAAATTATGGCTGATTTCCAGGCATAGGTCGTAAAAATCTTCTATTCCGTACATACATTTTTCCATTAGCAGTTTTTATCGTATCTTCGATGTGGTCCAACTTCCACAATAACTCCTGTATTATCCCATTTTTTTGTTATCGGATTCTGTAAGTATACATTTTGGCCAGGTTTAATAGGAGTTGAATGTTTTGCTGATTCATTATATTTTTCTGCTAATTTCAATTTTTTCCGCTGGTTTTGCATCACGAATCAAAGCAGCATTTTTCCATTCTGCAGCAAAATTATTTTGGTGAGTTATTAGTCTGCCATATAAAATTTCAGCTGAAGATTTTCCAGAAAAATTCGTTGTATTTCTCCATTTTAGCGTTGAATTTCTAGTTAACCCTTGTAGTACTCTTCTTTGTTGAAATTACCATTATTTGTACATTTTATTATCAGGGATTTCATTGCTTTTGCAGCAGCTTCGGCATGCCCATTATACCTACTGGATAATGTGGAGTTGAAGGCGCAAAAACTACATTTCACTTTTTTAAAAATGTTTTGAATTCTCTTGAAGCATATTTGACCGCCATTATCTGATCGAAACCTAACAGGTACGCCAGTATCGGCAAAAATGGTGGACAGATCATTTATCGTCTACGAACTGCTTGGATCTTTGTTATTGTACTGAATAACTATTGGTCATCCCGAAAATCTATCGACATAAACCATAAAATGTTTTCCTGTACTGAATAAATTCGATAAAACGTCTTCAAATGGATGGCTTGGAAGGATTTCTCAATTGGTGAGGTGTTCTGTGTTTTTCTGACAGGACTCACAAGCTTCCACGCAATTCTGAATATCGCTCTTCATTGTAGGCCAGTAAACTGTCTGACGGACTCTCCTTGAAGTTTTTTCGATTCCTTGATGTGATTCATGCAATTTCTCAATTATTGATTTTCAACATGAGTTTGGAATCAAAATTCGAGTTCCTCCTTTTATATAATTCGGGAATTGTCATAACTTAGCTCACGGTGTACATTCCAGTAAGGAATTGAAATTGGCTGAAGGATGTTTTTTGATGTTGGAAAACCATTTTAAATTCTAGTCTTCTGACAAAAACCGAGAACCACACTGTATAAGTTTCCATTGATTTTCATCTTTCTGAAGAAGCCATTTTTTACGGTGAAGCATCAGTATGTAAAGCGATTGAGTTCGTTTGATCAAAATGTGCTAAAATAGGGGGTTTTGCTAGAGCCTTTCTTACATTTTCAATAGATTCTTGATGATATGAAGACCATAAAAATGTAATTTTGGTTCTTAGAAGTGCTTTTAATGGCCCAGCTGCATTGCTTATCTTACATGAGAAATTACCAAGCTGGTTTACAAGGCCCATAAATGACCTTAGTTCGGTGATATTTTTTGGTGTCGGGAATTTCTCTATAGCTTCCAACTTTGTCTTTATCTGCTTTAATACCACATCTACCAACAATATAACCAACATAGATAGTTCAGGTTGGGCAAAAACATTTTTTTCTGATATTTTTAGCTCTGCAGGCACATAACTCTGTGGTAATGTTCTTGAAAACTTTCGTCATGTAAAAGGATATCGTCGACTATTTTTTTCTAGGTTTCCAATATCCAGCAGTGCCTCATCACCTCGACAACAAAATTCGTCTCCGGAACTTACCAAACCCATAGATGTACGTAAAAATTTAAATCTTCCCCAAGGCGTTAAGATTGTTGTTAAATCTTGACTTTCCTGGTCTAATACAAGCTGCCACTAGCCACTTTTTGCGTCAAAAGAAGAAAAGTGCTTAGATTCTCTATCTATATTTGACTCTGCTTCCTACGGTAACTTGAATGGCTGGTTCAATTTTGTGTAATCTACACATTATCCTGATATTGCCATTTGGTTTTTGTACTAGAACCAATGGGCTAACAAATTCTGTAGGCCTGTGTTTCACTGGTGGTAATAGACTATCCAATTCCTTTTTAACTGGTTCTAACGACGTAAATTGAATTTTCCTGGGGCATAATACCTCAGATGGTGTGTAGTTACTGATTAAATGTATAGGTATTGCAACGGCCGCCAGTGTGTCAAGAATCGCATAGCAGATTCGAGATTTTACGTGATGTTCGGGAACAATGTCGATCGCGGTTCTTCTGGAATTTACGGGAATAAATTACGGCTATATTATAAGGACGGGTTTTAGCTTGTAAGTGGAAGTTTCGGTTCGACTGTGATACGATTTAAATAGTGATTATTTTTGTGAAGAGTTTAATTGTTGAGTTACCTAGTTATTAAAGTAATTAGTGTCGGAGTGTATTGTTACGTGGAATAAATTATTGCTGTGTTAATTGGACTTTGATTTTTGGAATAAACGAAACGAACCCAAGATTTCTGTCAGGCAACACAAAGCCGTGACATTATATAAACTGGTGGTCTTTCCATAAGTTTTAACGTATCAGAGTCAAAGACATCTTGGTATTTAATGTATAAACTGTCAAATTTGAGGTTTCCAAACCGTTCATAGTACGGGGTTTAACGTGTTGGACAAGAATAATAAAAAATTTAAAAAAAAAACAAAAAACAAAAAACGGCGCAAAATGGCCTTTGCGACTCTAAATAAGAAATCTTGCTCGGTTTATTCTATAAACAGAACCCGAACCAGTGGAGTATAAAAGATTTAAAAAGAGTACAATACTGATGTTGGCTTTAAAGAAAGAAGGATAGTACCCAAAACAAAAAATTCCTCCATCGGTTTCTGCCCCCTTCGTTATCTGAAGCCTTACGCCACTGAACCCTGAGTACCAGAAAATATGTAGGTATCAAAAAGTGCAATAGTACAAACGTGATAAATATGGGTTTACCTGCAACCTGTAGATACCATTAAAAGATTTTATGGTGTCCGATAAGCGCCACAATAACTCGTAAAATCGACTCACTGCGTTCAAATTACAACCGCAGCTTATTTACAACAATTAAATTGACGTTATTTCATTCAGTTTGATTGCCAAATGCAATTTGTTTTGCGGCTTGCTTTTGTTCGTTCTTGTTGCTCAAAAGTTTGACACTGATTTGAGATGCGTTTCTAGTATTAATTTCGAGCAGTTAGAGCAAAGATAAAAGGAATCTCTTTATTTGAATCCAGTTGTTCGCAGTTCGAGGTTAGGTTTGGTGGAGTACCAACTAGTGGCTATAACGGACTAAATCAAATCAAATTCCAGAAATTAACAAGTTTTATAGGTATGTATAGACACTATGTTATCGATTTGCAAGTGTAATTTAATTTATATTTTCCAAGTTGATTTCTATCCCTATCCTACTTTATACAAGAATTTTTGTATTCAAACTGACTGACTTACAAAACTAAGCGCTTTATAGAACACATCATTCAATTAAGAAATTTCTAGAATTTACGTAAATTCTTGTTTGTTGAAGTCGCACAATGGAAACGAATAATTCACGAATATTTGCGCTCGTATCGTCAATTGTTACAGTTTACAGTGGCGTAGGCTTCTCCGCACCAATGTAATTTCGTAAAAATAAAAGTTCAAGTAAAATAAAGTAACTGCTACAATTCAGGAATACTTTCCTCTAAAAACACATAATGGTTTCTAGTTTCTACAGTTGAATTAATTCTACATGCAAAAATTTGAAATTTCAACATTTCTGAACGAAGAGGGAAGTGAGTTGATAATATTCATCTAGAATTGGAAATGATAAATGATACTTCTCAATTGTAAAAAAAATAGTGGATTTGATCTGGAGGGAGTATATAACTCTTTCAGTATTTTTTGGACTCCTTTCTCCTTTTTAAGGAGGTATAATGAAATAACACCGAGAACAATTTTCAAAATATTATCAGACATGTCATGAAAGAGGAACAATCGAAAGCAGTCGTCAACAATCTCAAAAACTTCCATATTTTCCTCAAGATTTTGGCACTTCTAAAATCGAAGTCATTATAATTTTTTTTTCACATGTGACGCTTCTATACCATTGTATGATTGTAGGAATCTAGCCTAAAACAACTTGGAGAAATAAAACCAGATATTCAAATTATTATGTATTATATGGTATTGGTACTGTAAAGTACCATGTAAATTCAAAAAGATAAAATTCCTACATATACGAAATTGCGACAATGTAAAGAACATGCAAACTATGCTACTTTTATCGTTTGTCAGGCTTGTTGGCGCTTAATATAAACTCATATGGGTACGTTGGAGTTTTGCTGACCTATGAAATTGAACAACCATGAAACCAGGAACGAGGTGAGAAAATAGAGATCTTTCGTTCAAAGTGTAAAGTTGAAACACGCAAACAATATAGGTATTTTAAAGTTTATAGTTAAGGTGTTTGTTCAGTGAAACTTTACAAATAAATAGCATAGAATCTTATTTGCACTATTCCTGATTCTCGTTTATGTATTATTGTCAAACACTGTATTTGAGATTAGAGCGTAACCGTTTTTTCCTTAACGTTACACCCATCAGTACTTCAAATAAAGCCAGAATCCGAGAACGAGTTTTACAAGAAAGAAGCCAAAGACATGGTGAATATTGTGCAGAGACTAGTCATGGAAGGTGAGTAAATTAGAGTCATTTTTTTTTTTTCGAGGATCCAAGTTTATTTTTTAATCAAATACATTCATATCAGGACTAACCCTGGATTCAAGATCAAAATAAAATCACATTCAATTTGTATTTTTTTAATTGTAGGCATATTAATGTGAAGCTGGAATACCTATTTGCTATTAAAACTTAGTCTTTTGATCGGCCAAGTTTTAATTTGTTGGCCACTTACCACAAAAATCTGGCAACCATCAATTCATAAGTAGAAAAAAAAAAATCCATCAAATAAGTATATATTTTTTTTTAAATAAACTTTATAGTTAATAAGTTTGAAAGTATGGTGTTATTTTTCGCTTTCTATCAAGTTGTTTCGACTTGCGGCACTATACCATACTATACTGGGAATTTTAGACGAGCATCAGCAGGTTTATTGAACCAGAATGTATACTTCACTAGAGTTGCTGGTTTGACAGTTTTTTTCCCATGCCTATTTTCTATGCCTTAGCGCATTTCCTGTGGTAATGTCTATGTTGGTGTTTGTGTGAGTGTCGATTTTTAACGAATTCTTTTTATTATTGAAGTTTCTAGTTCAGTACTTAGGTATTTATTTCCCAAACATTCACAGGTAATTCTAAGGGTCGGTTTCTCAATAGCGTGTCACCTCCATGTTGATTTTAACTCCAGGGTAAATGTGTCCAGTTTACCCTGGAGTTATGCTTAACCCGGGGGTGATTTGCTATTGAGAAAGCGGCCCTAAATTTAGATTTGAAAAAATGTTATTCTCTCTCATAACTTTTCCCTGTTGTAAACCATCAGAATCAGTTTGAATCATTATTTAATTCAATTGACTAAGGGCTGTGATTACTTAGCAACTTTAACATCAATTTCCCACCGTAAATGTTTTATTTTGTTTCAGGACATAGATTTGAACTACTTGAGACTGTAAATTTGGTGCTAGAACCTGGAATATTGTAAGTACATGCATTTTTTTCCTTTCTTATGTATAATATGCAAATTCTCGTTATTTCATTTCATTTGTAAAACTGTTGTGAAAACTGGGATGCCTAATTTTTATCAGGAGAGTAAGAGGACCAAAATTATTTTGAAGAGGCATAACGTAATAACGCATAACGTTGAACTTTGAGAAGGTTTTTGATTAAATTTGAGGCATTGTAATGTTTGAATCGGGGTTCAAGGGTTGGCCAACAATTTTCTCTACCCTTTAATTTTTGGATAGATTTTTGATGGATCTTTTCATATAAATTAACACAAATATCCACAGAAAAATCCTACCAGAATGTACCATCGTCACCAAAAGTATCTGGGACAAAAATAATGCCTAATTATCTCCTGGACTAATTCTACTGTCATTCATTTTAATGCATTTAATTCATAGTTTGACAAATATTTGACAATAAAATTCACATAATAGTACAAGAGCTAATGTGATGCTGTCCCAGTTACTTCTGGTGACGATGGTACTAGAAGAAAAAATAAATAAAATTCAGCAAATGTTTAGTAGAGGACAAATACAAAACTGTTTTTCAAACATAATCCTTTTACAGACAGAAAATTAAAATAGGATTCTGAAATTCATAACTATAATGCTCTTGAAGCGCCGGAATGTTCAAAAGCTATCAGAAATTTCCTAAATATTCTTAAGCGCCCTTTGATGCTCCTAATGGCATGTAATATTGACAGTTGAGTTGAAGAGGGCGCTTCTGTACTTGGAGCTATTTAAATTTTGGCGCGTAAATAATTGATTGTAATTTTTACCTCAAAAGTTAAGTCTGATGTGTAGTTTCAAGACAAGCTGACGCTGATACTATTCTCTAAGGGCCACTAAATGCTTTGGAAGATATTTTAACTTATTCATTGTCCATTGTTCATATTGTAGTCATCTTTCCTTCTACTCAATTTGAATGGTTTAAAACTATTGACATTTACCGCCAAAATTTGAAGCACTCCAAATTCACTCGCGCCCTCTACAAAATTATGGAGAACTTAACTGGATATTTGCTGCCATTGAAATTCTAACGTCTGAACATGTTTTAGAGTGTTGTTATATGTTCATAAAAGTTTTAAGTTAGTTCAAAAGTGTCATTCCAAGTTCCATTTGATTTTTACCGTGTTCTAGAGGGTTCCAAAATACTCCTGGAAATTTAAACTTGCATTTAAACTCAAATTTTAGAGTATCTCAAGCTTTTTCAAATATTTCCGAAAGTTCTGAAGTGTTCTGGTCCGTTCTAAAATGTTTCTGAAACTCTAATTTGATTCTAAAGTGTTCTGTAGCATTTTACAATGTTTGTGCATATTCAAATCTGTATCATGTGACGATTTTCAAGATATTCTGAAAGTTTCTAGTTCTAGATTTTTTCCAAGAGCTTCGTATGATTTGTAAAATGTTCCAAAAGCTTTCTAAAATGTTGCCGAAAGTTTAAAGTGTTCCTGTCTGTTCTAGAATGTTTCTAAAATTCTAAATTGGTTCTAAAGTATTCTGTAACGGTTTACAATGTTTTTAAAGATTTCAGTTTGTCGCAAACAAATGCAGGATGATTGAAAATTGAATTGAAAGTTTTCTGAAGCTTATTAAAGTTCTAAATTGCTGTAGAGCGTCTCAGAATGCTTAAAAATGTTCTAACTTGGCGCTAGCGCATTCTGAAGCTTTTCAAAATGACTTCCAAAGTTTTTAACTGGTTCCCTAATGATTTTGAAGCTCTGGAATGTTCTAGAAGGTATTAGAAATCTTCCAAATGCTCTATGATACTTCTGTAGTTCTGTTCGAAAATATTAGGTTTTAAAATACATGAAAATAGGTATATCTCAAAAACACAAATATCCACCAAAATCATCAAAAATCCAAACCGCAAATTGGTGGGAGAGTGCCTCAATAATGTAAAGAGTTTTTTCAGCTTGTTTTACTCTATAGGTACTTTTTCTTAAGCTGTCTAGAATACAAATTTCTGGCGCCCTGAAAATAAATCATCTAATCTTATCACTAAGCGACATTTTCTGTCTGTCTGTCTCTGTCTGTTATTTTATTAACGACATGAAAAATTACGTGTTACTTGTGTTTTTAGCAAGACTATCGCGCTATTTCAAGTTAGGTATTTGTGAATCTTTTTTTTTATGTAGGTAGATAGTGTTTAACTTCAAGCCGCTACATTAGGCTTGAAAAAGTTGATGATATCAGTGAAGGCCTTGAATCAGTAAAGACCTTGATCAGTAAAGGCCTTTATCAGTTAAGTAAAGGCCTTGAAATACCTGTAAAAAAAAAATTAAAAGTATCCTACAAAATATTATTGATCAGTTAATACAACGTTTTCTGATTTCGATTCTCTATTACCTACTCTATTGATCTCGGTCTACCCAGAAGTTTTTGTCCAGTTCTCTTGCTTTGATATCGATCTCATCATCGTCTATATACCTCCCTCTTTTTTGAATTCCCATACCTTTCCAGTTAATTAATTCATGTCGAGATTCATGTCATTATCATTGTCACTGTGGCTTCATGTGTCTTTGAATGCTTGTCACCTGCTCGATTTCTGTTTCACACCGGTTCTCTTCTCCTGGGCTTCTAGTAATTCCCCAAAACTCTTTCTGCGCGGTACTTCTTAGGTAATTTTCAATTTTGATTGTAATGGAGTTCAATACTGCAATACCTACGCAAAAAAGAGCCCAATAGCTTTAGTCCTCATAACATGCTCTTACGTCCTTAATGTTTTTGAAGAGACAGTTTCCACATCAGCTTCAAAGTCACTCAGATCTAATATTTTTTATCTCATTGTGATTAATGTTCTCGTTAAAGGAAAGGTGCCTTTGTTTGAGGAGAGTTTTCTCGATCTCGTCTCGAAATCGAGACGAGACGAGACGAGAAATCTCGAATTTCGAGAATCTCGTTAAACCCTATACACACCTATTTCCCACCACCGTGCGAGTGCTTAAGGAGTTCAATTTTTTCTTTTTTCTGATATGTAGCCTTACGGCGATTTTCTCACAAAACAGTTGCCGAATATTGAAAAAACCAGATTCTTTATACAATTGTTCACTTGGATATCTTAGGCCTTCGTTGTCTGCCCCTCTTATACTTTGCGAGTCACTTATATCCAATCTATCAATGTTGCAAACCGGCCTCATATGATGAAAAAGTCTTGAATTGAGTTTTATCCTTGGTTTTATCACTTATCTTAACATTAACAATTTATTAATTTGCGTATAATATTTAGTATAAAATGCAGTAATAAAAAAATTGGTGTCTTAATGTATGGTTTGGCCTATTTAATGATTTTGGACTAGTTATTTTAGAACTATTGGCAACAGCGTAACGCGCGAATTTGAATTATGACAGAAATACGCGCCATCTCGTATCTAGCATCTAAAATACCAAAGCCTGAATTGAATTTGGAGGCTCGCTTTCGATAGCGAGCCTCCAAATAGCGTCGCAGATTTTTACCATTTGACTGGACGTCTATTCGTAGTATTTAAGTCTATGGTTTTATCAATATTAACTGTCAGCACATTGAAGTCAAACCAGTCCTGTACCTTTCCAAAGTCTTCCTCCGCGATCTGTCTTACTTCCGCCCATGCAAGTATCTGCACTGAAGAAGCAAACTGTATCATCACAGAAACTCGTCAGGTTACCTCTGATATCCACTTTAAAAAGATCATTTATATACATTATAAACAATAGTGGCCCAAGAGCTGCGTCAAGTTAGCCCCCCCACATTCGAATTTTCTAAAAAAATTACAACCACTTACTGTGCTCGAAGTGTGCTCTACTGTGCCGATGATATTTTGAACTGTGCCGATGATATTTTGAACTGTGCCGTTTCGATAACAAAGTTATAGGAAAAAATAGATGAGGGGCTAACTTGACGCTCAGCCCCCCAAAATTTTGGAAATCAGATTAAACAGAATTGAATTCTTATCCAATCTGAAGTGTGCTGAACTGTGCTGTATCAGGTTTTTCTGAAAATTTCCATATTCGGTCATTTTCCAACAAAATCTTACTGGGGGGCTAACTTGACGCTCAGCCCCCCCAAAATTTCGAAAATCAGTTTGCATAAAATTGAATTCTCATCTAATCTGAAGTGTGCTGAACTGTGCTGTACCAGGTTTTTCTCGAAATTTCCATATTCGGTCATTTTCCGACAAAAAACTAAGAGGGGGCTAAGTTAATGCCAAATTTTAGAAATCAGATCAAAGAAAAACGGACTCTTATTCTTATTAAATCTGAAGTGATCTGAATTGTGCCCGATCAGGTTATCCCAAGCTTCTATGTTTGGCCATTTCCCGATATAAACCTAATGGATGGTATGTATGTAAATTCTCAGAGCTGAACGTCAAGTTAGCTAGTAGGATTTTGTCGGAAAATAACCGAATAAGTATACCCATGTAAATTTTGAGAAAACCTGATACAGCAGAGTTCAGTACACTTCAGATTGGATAAGGATACAATTTTGTTCAAACTGATTTTCGAAATGTTTGGGGGGTTGAGCGTCAAAGTTACCTCCCCAGTAGGATTTTGCCGGAAAATGACCGAATATGGAAATTTTGAGAAAAGCCTGATACAGCACAGTTCAGCACACTTCAGATTGGAAAATAATTCAATTTTGTTTATTCTGATTTTCAAAATTTTGGGGGGTTGAGCTTTAAATTGGCTCCCTGCTCCCCAATATGATTATTTTGTCGGAAAATAACCGAATATGAAAATTTTGAGAAAAACCTGATTCAGCACAGTTCAGCACACTTCAGATTGGATAAGAATTCAATTTTGTTTAATCTGATTTCCAAAATTTTACCGGTGTGAAGTTAGCAGCCTTTTTGCAGCAGCCAAAAATGTGAAGTTAGCAGCCATTTGTAGCAGCCAAAATTGTGAAGTTAGCAGCCATTTTTTGGCAGCTCTTTTTTTTTAAATGGTTGATTTACAAATTTTGTGTACATTATTATTATATACCCTCGTGCAAAGTAC